CCCCCCCCCCCCCCCCCCCAAAAAAAAAAAAAAAGAGGAAAGCCTTAAAAAAAAGCAATATCTGAAGTCTCCCCAAAAGTGAGAGATATCTCACTGGCTTTCAAATGGCTCAAGATACAACTTACCCATGCAAGTCAACAAAGAAAAGCAATGTTTTCCAGGCTTACCAGCTTTATCATGACTAATCTTCTTACCTTTTCATCTTCTGAAACGTCATGTTCAGCATCTCCTTCTCCCTCGAGGACCTCGATGGCAGTATGACTATGACCAGCCTCCTCTCCTTGCAAACCTGCCTCATGATGTCCATAGTTATGATCATCCTCCTTTTGTTCAGAGATTTCCGCATACTCATTACCCTGGTTATCTTTATTTATCTTGAAGACCTCGGTACTCACATGGTTATCGTGATGCTCCTCCTTGCCTTCCAAACCGTCCTCATGGTCATGACATTCCATTATGTTTTGTAGCTGTTCCTCCTCCTCCTCCCCCTTGTCCGGTCCCTGCTGATCCACAGCTTTCCTGCAGGTTCCTTCCATTTCTAACTGTGCAAAAGCATTGCCTGCAATCGTCTCCTCCCCTTGCAAAGCTGCCTCATGATGTCCATGGCTATGGTCATCCTCCTTTCCTTCAGAGAGTTGCGCATGCACATGGTTCTGGTTATCGTCATCTATCTTCAGGACCTCAATATTTCCACACTTCTGGTGAAGCTTCTCCTTGAATTCCAAAATGCCCTCACGACCACAACCTTCCATCACGTTTTGCTGCTTGTTCTTGTCCCCCTTGTTCAGCTCTTGCTGATAGACAGCTTCCCTAGAGGTTTGTTTATTTTCAACCTGTGCAATAGTATTCCCGGCAAGAATCCAGCGAGCCATCTTCTCCTCTCCTTGCAAAGCTGCCACACAATGTCCCTGGCAATGGTCATCCTCCTTCCCCTCAGAGATGCCCACATGCCCAATGTTCTCGTTATCTTTATCTACCTTCAACACCTTAGTGCTTACACCATTATGGTGATGCTGCTCCTGGCCTTCCGAAACGTCCTCATGGTCGTGACCTTCCACCATGTTCTGCAGCTTTTTCCCATCCTCCTTCCCCTTGTTCAGCCCTTGCTGCTCAAAAGCTTTGGTGGAGACGTGCTCCCTTCGTAACTCTGCAATAGCATTGTCGGCAGGAGTCCCCTGCACCATATATTCCTCTCCTCGCAAACCTGCCACACAATGTCCATGGCTATGCTCATCCTCCTTCCTTTCAGAGTTTTTTTCCGCATGCCCCATGTTCTCATTATGTTCATCTACCTTCAACACCTCGGTGCTTGCACTGTTATGATGATGTCGCTCCTGGCCTCCCAAAACATCCTCATGGCCATAACCTTCCACCATGTTTTGCAGCTTTTTCTCATCCTCCTTCACCTTGTTCAGCCCTTGCTGCTCCAAAGCTCCAGTGGCGGTTTGTTCCATTCCTAACTGTGCAATATCACTGTCAGCAAGAGAACCCTGCACCATCTTCTGCTCTCCTGGCAAACCTGCCTCATAACATCCATGGCCGTGATTGTACTCCTTTCCTTCAGGGATTTCTGCAAACTGATGGTTGTGGCTATCTTTGTCAAAACTCAAGATCGTGGTACTTGGACAGTTATCATGCTGCCGCTCCTTGCCTTCCAAAACATCCTCATGGACATGACCTTCCAAAACATTTCGAAGCTTTTTCTCATCCTCCTTTCCCTTGTTCGGTCCTTGCTGCCCAACAGCAATCCTGGAGGTCTCCTTTGTTTCTGACTGTGTGATTACATTCTCAGCAAAAATCAACTGCATTTTCTTCTCCTGTCCTTGACGACCTGCAGCGTGATGACTATAGCTATGGCCATCCTCCTTCTGTTCAGAGACTTTCACATGCCCATGGTTCTTGTTATCTTCATCTTGCTTCGACACCTCCATACTTCGATACTTACGGGGATGTGAAATGCCGTCATGGCCACAACCTTTCATCACGTGTTGCAGATCTTTATCATTCTCCTTCCCCTTACTCAGTCCTTGGTCGTCAACTCCTCTCCTGGACACTTGATTTGTTTCTAACTGTGCTATAGCATTCTCAGCAAGAATCCGTTGAGCTACCTTTAACTTCTCATGTCTTTCGGTCATTAGGACCGTCCCATCAATCATCAAAGACGCCTCCCAGAGATTCCCTACCAGATGTTTCTTGAAGCGCACCTTCACATTGAGGTCATCACATCTGTTTTGCAGACGAATGAAAGGATCCTCCATGACTTGCTCAGGGGTCACTAGAGGTGAAATGATGTTTAAGAGAACCTTCTTGATGAACATGGTAATATTGTTACACACGTACAAATACACCGTACACATCAGTCTCTCTCTCTCTCTCTCTCTCTCTCTCTCTCTCTCTCTCTCTCTTTCTCTCACTCTCACTCTC